GGGCGGCTCGGCGGCGGCGGCGGCGATGGCAGCAGCAAGGTGTCCGGCCTGTGCCCTCTTGGCCGCTCGCGCCTTTTCTCCCCGCGCTCCTCGCTGGCCCGCTCGCGCTCCCGCCCGCCCGCCTGCCTCCTCGCTTCCCGCCCGCGCGCCCCGCGCTCGCCCCCTCTGCCCGGCTCCGCTGCCGAGTGAACTGGAACCAGTCGCCGCGGCCCCGGGATTCCCACAATGCACAGCGCGCCGCTCGTCACATCCCATCCCGTCCCCGCGCGTCCGGCCACCCCTCCCGCGCCACCCGTGCGCCCGGGCGTTGACCCCAACTCCGCGGCTGCGTGCGCGGGCCCCTCCGCCCTCCGCCGCCGGGAAGTCGGTCTGTCTGTCCCGCAGCTGCACCGAAGCCCTGGGTCCCGCTCTGCCCGCAGGCACCTGGCTGGACGCAGCGTCCACCGAGGCTAAGTCCTTGGAAAGGCCTCCGAAGCACACACGCCCAGAGGCGCTTCTCCAGTGCACGTCCACGCCTGTGTTCTCCAACCACAATGATACTTACTGAGTGTCTACGTGTGGCTGGCGGTGAGCGCGGGAGGTTGGCCGCTCCGTCGCTGGCAGCCTTCCCGTCCACCCGGGAGGGAGGCACCATCGCAGTCAGCGGCGAGCACTTTTCCCTCCGCGACCAATGCAACACCCCCTCCCACAGGGCATCTCGGAACCTCCCACTGCCTCGATGCCAGCCCACCCATCAAACCCTTGTCGGCCCTCACGACTAACTATGGCACACACGCTCCTCTGGGGTTCTTCATAGTGAACCCAGAAAATCTGAACCTCCTTTGCTAGAGGAAGAGGTTAGCCCTTCGTTTTAGCAAATGCTCACTGTTGGAGCCAAGTTGGGATTTACTAATACACTGGTTCTTTATATCACACACGTGTTTCGTTTTTGTTTTAAATGCAGACCGGCAGGAAGAAGAGGAGCCGCTGCAAAGCCTAGCTAGCGTTTCTAAATGGGTTTTCCATTAGAACGTCTGGAGGGGGTGGGGGATGAGGTGCCGGCACTCAATAGGGCCCTTCCCTCTATTCCCCTCCGGTTCAAGCGCCAAAGTATGCAGCGGAGACGCACCTCAGCACCCAACTGCGAACCCAATTTGGGTAACAATACACACCTGACGCCTTGCTGTGAGGTTTAGAGTACCACTGCTGGGGGGCGGGGCGGGGGTGGGGTGGGGTGGAGACTGGCAGGGAAAGCATAACGAAAGACCCTCCCCCTCCCAAACTTAAAGCTGCTCTCTCCATCACAACGCACGAAACTTTACGACGTACATTCTTTTTTTCATTGGTTTTAATTTATCAGTCATGGGGCCCTCCCTGGTGGCGCAATGGGTTAAAGCTCAGCACTGTGAAGCTCTCCACAGCCACTACAACACGAGTTTGTTACCCTGCCACGGAGGTGACCCACATGGCCAGCAGACCTCTCCTGACCAGCGCTGCTCCGCTCAGCAGTGTATTTCAGTAGATCTGCCTGTTCTGCTCCCCACTCTGTCTCTGGTGAATCCTCTCACTCCCCCTCCCACATCCCTAGCACCCCTGGCATATACTCCAGTTCTTGTATGCATAAATATATCTTTAATAATAATAATAATTTATCAGTCATTCACATAACTATGATTCGGTGGTTACATCTTCACACCTCCATATGTGCATGTTCCACTCGCCCTGTACCAAACCTGTGTATACGTCCTCACCTTCACTATGCTATTTTAAAAGTCCACAAAACAGGGTCCAACACAGGACCTTACATTCATTAATTCAATTAAATACAGAGGTTACACTCTGTGCCATGTGCCAGTTTGGGTGATGAAAATGAAGCAGTCAACGAAACATCCAAAAGTTCTGCCTGCCAGGAGTTTGCACATTAGTAGGAAAGAAAAACAATAGACAAAAAAGATGATGTGTCAGGTGGTGTAAAAAATGCTGCCGTGGAGAAAAATAAAGGAGGGTAAGAAATGTGAATTGGATTTCAAATTTTAGAGGAGACTTCTAAAGGAATTGAGACCTGAAAGAACTGAGAGAGCAAATCAGACAGATATTCAGGCTATCAGAAGGGGAGGGTGGGATAAAAGGGGAGTGTGCACAGTGGTCTATGATAAAGGGTGCCTTAGTGGTGGTGTGGGGTGGTGACAGACATTTGAGGAGCTGAGAACCTATTCCCTGAAATCACGCACTGTGCACTGTGTTATAAGCCAGTCCTGTTGCCTCTATAGTATTTTTTTAATTTAAAAAATAAAAGTTATTGGACATGATAGACATCTTAGCTAACACTACTACAGTAGCAATTATATTGCATATAGAATAGACCAAGTTGGCCCTCCCTAGTGGCGCAATGGGCTAGGACGCAGCATTGTAAGCTGGCAGCAGCCACCTCAGTGCGAGTTCTATTCCTGGCCCAGTGGTGACCCACATGGCATGGCAGACCTCTCCTGACCTGCCAGTTGCTCCCCATCAGCAGTGTACTTCATCAATCTGCCTGTTCTACTCATCACTCTGTCTCTGATGAATCCTCTCACTGCCTCTGCACCTCTGGCCTGTACCCCCAGTTCTGTATGCATAAATAATAAGTTTTTAAAACTTAAAAAAGAAAGAAAGAAAGAAAAAGAAATAGGCCAGGTCAACACATTGGACATCTTACACTTAGACCATGGTTTATGTCAATGACACTTCAATATTTTAAAATACTTTTTTACAGGTTTATGATCCTCTCATGGTCACCGTTTTAAAAAATATTTATGCATACAAGAACTGGGGTACCAGCCAGAGGTGCAGGGGGTGACGGTGTTCACCAGAGATAAAGTAGGGAACAGAACAGGGGGATTATCTGAGATACACTGCTGAGAGGAACAGTGGGTGAGACAGGAGAGGTCTGCTGTGCCATGTGAGTTAGCTAGCTGGCTGGGAATAGACCTTCTTATGCTGCTGTGGCTGTGGAGAGCTTCACAGTGCTTTAATATGTTGCTCTACCAGGGAGGGCCCAACCTTTCAAGTGGGACTTAGAGGTGACTTAAAATGAAATTAACATGTTACACTTAACCAAAACAAGAGCAACAGCAATTCAGAGTTCAGTTTAGTCCTAATTCCCCAGAAAATTCTTGCCTCAGCTCTTCCCTCTGATTTTGGGGTGCAGGTCCTTTGTCCTGTCTCTGGGTGGCTAGGCCCTGACTCCAAGTGTTTAAAGATTCTTTATCTGGTGTCTCAAGGGACATCTTCTACAAAAAGACATTGTGTTCCAGTGTACAGTCAGCAATGTAGAGACAAGAGGCACCCATCATGCCTGGAAGGATATGACCTTAGCAGGGTTAAAGCTCAGGGAGGAGTCCACCAGAAATATCCCCCAGAAAGACTGGAAGAAAGAAGCAGAGCAAAAGGATGGCCTTATTGACATCCGAGAATTTTCTCTGACTTTCTAACAAGTTTTTCTCGGCCCTCCCTGGTGGCACAGTGGGTAAAAGCATAGCACTAAGAACTTAAAGCCACTTCAGCATGAGTTCAATCCCCACCCCCCAAGGTGATCCACACTGCGTGGCAGACTTCTCCTGACCCGCCCGCTGCTCCCCTCAGCAATGTACTTTGTCAGTCTGCCTGTTCTGCTCCCCACTCTGTCTCTGGTGAAGCCTCTCACCGCCCCTGCACCTCTGGCTTGTACCCCAGTTCTGTATGCATAAATAAATAAATCTTTTTTTAAAAAAAGTTTTTTTCCCCCAAGTGGTAAATCAGAATGCATGCTCATTATTGCAAAGTGGGAAAATTAAAATATGTGAAAAACACACCAGTAAGAGCCCACAAAGAGCTGTGGTGTGCATGTGTTGTATCGTTGCTGTCACTATTTGCTGTATAGAAATGAAAGCTGAGGGAAATTGTAAATACATATTAATTTTTTAAATATTTACATGTACGTGAGTTAAATATCCACATAAATAATATACCAGTATGAAAATAATTCCATTTCCAAAACAAAAAACAAAACAAGTTTTTACCATTTTGCCTATTTCTTTAATGTCTGTCTTCATAGATGATAGCCAGATTCTCTGGCTTCTGCACTCAGTGGCTGTAAGTTGTTTTATTTGAAGCATATGAAAAAAATTCAGCCTCACACAGATACTGATTGGGAGCAAATGTAGGACTTAAGTAACCTTTTCAGATAATTTGGCTGTTCTTTAACACTACACCAAAATGCAAGAAGTAGTAATTTCTTAAAGGTTAATTGCAATGTAGAAACCAAAACTAATTAATAAACTTCCTAACTCAGTAGCATTAAAATCATTCCATTTCTCTGTATCTAAATGGATCTTGTACTCATGTGTGGTTTGGTGAGATCCTATAATGGTCATTTGGAAAATACTATGTCATGAAGTTGTACAGATCTTCTACTCTTCCAAATGTGAACACTTTTTTAACATAAAATATCTGAAAACCACATTTCTTAATATCACTGCTGAGACCCTCAGACAATATTTAAATATTGGAAAGTGTTCAAATTTATGGTGGAAGACACAAATTGCTCAAAATGGTTATTTTTGAAAGTTTAAATTTATCATTGGCAACATAATGTCAGCTGTTTTTGGAGTGGTGGGTTCATTTCACCATTTTCAAGAAAACATTCCCCACATAAGGGCAGGGCTGCAAAATCACTTATATGGGCCTCAGGCATCTCTGCCTTTGTGGGTCCTTTCCTCCATAAAGAAACAACAAAACTGTATCCGTGTAAAGACAAGTATGTTAACATTACATATTGAAACTGCCTTCTGAAGAATTCCACCCTGCACACACCCAAGTCTGAAAAACCAGTTTGACTGTCAATCAGGCACAACTTCTACATTAGGAGCAGAGCTGAAGCCCATGGGACTTTATGGGCCCATGAAAATGTTCAATTTCTTTTAAAATCAGAAGAATAAAAAGGTTCACTCTTTTAGATTGAAGAAAACCTTTTACTCTGTATAACATTTATATATGTGTCTTTATACCAATGCACACACCAACCATATATATCTTTTATACCAACACAGTCCATAAACTATACTTTTTATATCTTTTTATAGAGGAAGGGGCCCACAAAGGCAAAAGAACGAACAGCCTGTAGCAGTATTAATGCAGCCCGGTTGTCAGTCTCCATTTCAAGTAAAATTGGTGTTTCCTGAAAAAAAAAAAAAGTAGCTTCCTGAGCCCCCAACTCAATCACACACTCAAGAAAATCAGCCTAACTGGTCACATTAGTAGGGTGCTTTATTCATATTTTCCATTTCTCCCATTAGACCTATTGTATTTGTACCCCTGGTGCAAAAGTCCGGGACAGTGAAGAAGCTAAAGAACAGCATGGCTTCACTAAGAAGAGCTTTGACCTTGTGGGTGCCCCAAAAAGCACTCAGTGACCTCCCTGGGTCTGCAGACCTTATTGGGGGGAATCTCTGATCCAAATTCTAAGCTGTGCCTTTATTTAGTTAACCAGTTTCTCCTTGTTTTCCTTTCAGGCTGTTCCCACTCTAAGATTTAGGTGACCCCTTTAGAGACACATCTCTGTGCACATCTGGCTACTGAGGATAACTGTTTAGAAGTGTAACTACTAAATTAGTCACCTATGGTTTACAAATAGTCATATCATGGCTCTTGGGAGAAATTTGATGGGTGTTCCCAAGAGCAGGCTGGGCATTCCTGCATCTCCCCAGGGCCTGTTTGCAGTCCCTCTGATATTCTTCAAGATCTTTGATGATCTGAGAGTCAAAAGTGGGGGTGTTGTCATTCTCCCCCCTTTTATCTTGACCTTGCTTGTGGGAGAACAGGGAGTGTCTCCAGTAGATTCCTAAACTTTGGGCTGACATTC